CGCCTGCAGCAAGACGCTGTCCCGGGTTGCCTAGGGGACGCGTTCCTACTGGACTGGTCAACTCAGTTCCTTTACATTTTTCCTCCGATCCCGCTCCTACTCCGAGTGATCGAGAGGATAAAGATATCCCGAATGAACTGCATTCTCATCGCACCAGAGTGGCCGAGACAGGTGTGGTTCCCCACTCTCCTGAGGCTTTCCAATTCTCAGATGATCAGGCTGCCACCTCGTCGAGAGAAGCCGGTCTTCTTCTTCACCCAGACGTCTCATCCCTCCACCTGGCTGCATGGCGGATAACTTCCTAGATTTGTTCGATCCCGAGCTTCAGACAATCCTCCAAGCAGCCCATAAGCCCTCGACATCGAGAGCTTATGCTTACCGGATCGGACGACTTCGACAATTCCTTCGAGAGCAAGCATTACCCGACGATCCACCGTCGATCCAGACGACCTTGGACTTTCTTCTTTCATTATCAGCCCAAAAACTTACCTTGTCATCCATAAAATCGTATGTTGCCGCAATTTCCTGGTACTACCAGAGACTGGGCTCTGCTTCGCTCTTCGGAAATCACCTTATCAGGACTTTCCTGAGAGGTTATAATCACCTCAACCCACCAGTACACCCGCCGACGCCGGGATGGAGTCTCGACATCGTCCTGCCTCAGCTGACCGGCCCTCCTTTTGAACCGTTGGCCACAACAGATCTTCGACTACTTTCGTGGAAAGTTGCCTTTCTAGTGGCCATCACATCTGCCCGTAGACCTTCAGAACTGGCAGCCTTGAGGGTTGACGAACCTTACCTGCTATTCCATTCGGACCGAGTGGTCTTGAGAATTGATATTACCTTTCTTCCGAAGGTCGTGTCTTCTTTTCATGTTAATGAAGACATAGTCCTTCCATCTTTTTTTCAAAAGCCGTCGTCTCCGGCGGAAACCAAGCTCCACGCTTTGGACGTTCGGAGAGCCCTTCTATTTTATAGACAAAGAACTGCTGCCTTAAGGAAGACCCCCAGACTCTTTGTTGCTTATGCAGCAGACAAACAAGGGCTTCCCCTTTCCTCACAACGGCTGTCACGCTGGATTGCGTCGACAATCAAACTTTGTTATGAACTGGCTCGAAAGCCTCCACCTGCCTCAGCTCGACCAAGGTCGACTAGAGCCATGGCTGCCACGACGGCATTCTTACGGGGGATCCCGTTAGACACTATCTGCAAGGCAGCTATCTGGTCCAACCCGATGACTTTCATTTCTCATTATCGGTTGGACACACGATCCCGAAGGGAGACCGCCTTCAGTCGAGCAATCCTGTCTTCTTGCCCCCTTTGATTATGGTCACTCGGGTTCCCCGGGGTTGTTGCTGTTTTTTGCTATATAGCACTACTACAGACAGGACAAAAGAGGTCTACTGTTGTTTTCCTACTGTCTCCCTGGTTAAAGGGAAATATATGTTTACAGTTCTTCCTGTTTATGTAACATTTGCTCTGCAAAATGCCTTTTTTCCTGCAAAGTACTTATACTACTTGCATGTACTAAATACTCGAATCATTGTTGTTGTTTGCTGTGTCCCGATCACAGTATCGAGAATTGCACAAGAGTTTTATTACTTATGCACTTATACTTGTTTTTTTGAAATGTACTGCCTTGGGTGGGGGGTGTGTGATACATTTGCAGTACACAAATTTATACATGCTTGTGCTACACCTCACATGAGATGTTGTTTACACTGTGTTTGGACATGATGTTAATAAAACATGTTTTGGTCCTTGAACTGGTGTCGGTTTGCTTCCCACCATCTGGGACCTCAGCTTGCTAGTTCTCCATAAGTGTGCATTCACAGAGGTCACGAAGAAAAATGGTAGGTTACTCACCTGTAACCATCTTTCTTCAAGTGAGCCTCTGTGAATCCACACTAACCCGCCCAGCCATCCCCTCTTGCAAACCTCCCCCTATTCCTCGCTATGCGGCGTAAGGAATGGCGGAGCGCGCGCGCGGGGTGCCTTTTATGCCCTGCGGGCGGCTGGGCGGAGTTACCGCCAAAACTTAAAAGTTTCAACTTGAGAAGTTTTTCCGTTGGGACCTGCGCAGGCGCAGATTCTCCATAAGTGTGGATTCACAGAGGCTCACTTGAAGAAAGATGGTTACAGGTGAGTAACCTACCATTATTATATTTTTAATATTCATTATGTATTAGACGTATACTATTTATTAATGATATTGTTATAATAGTTATTTTTATATTTATTTTGACTTATGTATTATATTCATGATATTTATTATTTCTGATATTTTATAACCATTATTTATTATATTTATTTAGCTTCATTCCTTATTATATTTATTACTTATATTTATTTAGATTCATTACACTTAGATTTATCTCAATACATATAAATATAATAATAAAATAAAAAACTTATGTCTCCAAAATACATGTATTAAAATACACAGAACAAAGATTAATATATAGTGAACACAAGACGCAAGTTTAAAATTCATGAATAAAACCGGCTGGGTCTACAATGCCTATAATGTAGTTCAATGCAGTTAATCTGCATTCTGAAACTGCATTACACGGCAATGTAGATCCAGCCAATGACATGTACACTGTGAACCTGAGTAAGACTATATTTAGAGTTTTATTTCTAGAAAGGTCTCTAACTGAAACAAATCAAAATTTTAGATTTGGCTCAAATGTCACCTGCTTATTCTAGAACTCATCTGAAAAGAGTTGCTGACTGTTTCCTTGAAACAGAGTCTAATTCAATCCTCTAACTAACAGATAATGCTAGAACACTTCATTTTGGAGTATACGAACATTTATTGTTTGAAGTACTTCAATTTGAGGGTTTGGTCTTGTTTCCAGTCCTGGTTGATGGTATACCCTTAATGGAATACCAATTCCAGTTAGAATGTGGCACACTGAAACAGCAAAGAAAACAACCAGTACTGACTCCTCATTTTTCTTTTCTATTAAATTGAAAGAATGAATCTGTGCTCCCAAAATGAGACCTTGTGTGCCAAGCTGCAGCCTAGAGCACATTTTTATGGCTGAGTTATAAACCCCTGAAAAATGGGGTTTTGTAATGGAAACGGGAGACATGATGAATGGATCACTTTATTTAATTAGAGTTCTTTTATCCTTCCCATCCTACTTTTCTTGGCTGCAAAAGATGCTGTGCCAGCTATTCCTGCCCTCTCTTATCTGCCTCTTGCAATCCTGTGCATCTCCACAGGGTCAGAAAGAGGACGTTTTTTTATGGGTTCTAATGAGGTAGGAGACAGGCAAAAAATATTTCATACTGATTTAGTGTGCTTTAAGGAGAATTGATTCAAACAGTTTGTTTTCAGTCATCTGTTCTAAAGATATATTCCTATCCTTTCCAGGTATCATGCTCTATGAGATGTCAGTGTAGGCTAAAAAGCATAGGGACTCTTCCTCACAATCAGTTAATGTCGCTTTATGGTAATTTTGATTTTTTTTAAACACTAGAATAGTATGGAGCTGTTTTAGCACATGGTTTGCTGGTATCTGTGCTCTTCTGTAGCTCTTTGTCCTTAATCTTAAGCCAGAAAATCTTAAGCCAGAAAATATAGACAAGAGTGAGGTGCTGCATCTATGTAATAGAACATATGTGCAATTTTCAAACCACACAATTTTATATTCTGTTGACTCACTAATATTCTCTTTTACAGACCCAGAAACCTCTACTTAGTATTCTTTGCTTGCTCTTTTATTCATTGGCCATGGAGGTTTCTTCTCTTTCAATCCTAGATTTTTTTAAAAATTATCTTTGTCCAAAATATCAAGCTCTGTGGTGACAGTGCTTTTAAAAATAATGCAAGATAGAAGCCAGTAATCACAAATTCATTGTTTGATGTGACGGTTCTTTCTCCAGAATACTCACTGCACTCCCACCACTGAAGAACTTGATTGAAGCAATGTGGTTTTTGCTCCATACTCCCTGTTGGCTTCCACGGCCGAGAAAAGGAACTGAAATCGCTTCTCTGCACTTGCAATGTGTGCCTTTGTTACCTTTAAGCCTTATGACAGTTGAGAAAATCTGATATGCAAACAATGCAAAAGCATAAAGCACGAGATATTGGAAATCATTCTGCTTAGAGGACAAGAAGACTTAAAGTCAAATTAATCAGTTCTAAACTACTTTAATGCATGGATTGTATAGTTCTATAATTATCATTTTTCTTTGCTCAGTTTTTTAGGTCAGTTTTAAAAACTGAGCCAATTCTTATGTCCAGGTTTCTAGACTGTGTAAATTCAGGTCCAAATTAGGAGCTTCATTTTTGAAAGCTTGTTGATAAGGGAGGAGAAGGAAAACACTAGATGCATAAAATACCTTATAAAGAAGAAGGTAAATCAAATTATTCTCACTTATATGTTAGTTTTCATTATATAGGTGGAGGGGAAGGCAGGGACAGGACTCTGTGATGAAACATCAAAACGTTCAAATGCTAAGGCTGTGTAGTTCAAGAAAGACTTCACAATATTCTTGGCATACTAAAGTGTTTTCTTACTCCTGATGTACAAAGTAGTCATCATATCACTGCTAAGAACCATCAAGCATCAGACTAAGAATCTCATAGATAATCCCATTTGTGTTAATTCAGAGTTTCATCTGGCCATTAATCTGAGAAACCCATTTGGTTTGCAGTACTGCAAGAAAATAAGGAGATCCCAGAATGTTTTGTGACTTCATTCAAAGATACTACCATAATGCCCCCCGTAGTGTTTCCGATCAGTTTCATAACATGAGACATTGAATGACTTAGTAAAAAAATACAAGAAATATAGTTAGTGTGTTGTAAATGTTTGCAGCAAATCCATGTAACCACTGGTAAGTCTGAAGCACATAAATCAGGATATGTCTAATAAATAATTTACTATGTACTAAATCTGCAGTCTGCACTAATATTCTTGTACACCATATAAATGGCACAGTATGAAACATAAATTTATATCCTTTTCTTTACTCTACTGTAACAGCTGTTCTTGCCCTATTGGATTTGAGGGGAAGAAATGTGAAGTCAATCCAGATGACTGTGAAGATAATGACTGTGAGAACAACTCAACTTGTTTGGATGGGATAAACAATTATGCCTGCCTGTGCCCCCCTAATTATACAGGTAAGCAAATATTTACTAGGAAGATAGTCAGGAAGTCTGGGGTAGGCCTTCCTCCCAAGACTTATATGTCATATAAGTGTAATGATAGGGAGCATTTTGGACAAAGTCATGGGGATGTGTGGCCTATAAGTAGCAACAACTCGTGGTGGGGATATATATATATATATATATATATATATATATATATATATATTCCTTCCAGCATCAGAGGTGGCTTTCTACTACTTGTGGACCCAGTGGAGGTGTATTACTGCATTTCTAGCATGTGTATTGTCTACCTGTAGGCAGCTGCTGATTAGTCAGTTTAGACGTGCTAAAAGATTTAAGGATTTGCTCTGATCCAGAAAGGTTTTTCTTCTGAGTTTCTGTATTAGGCATAAAGACAACAGGTCTTATAGGATGCACAAAACAGCCACATTTTAAGCCATTATTAAGAGAGCACAAGAGCCATCCAGTCCAACCTTTGGCTGTGTTGGAACACCCAGTCAAATCACTCCTGACAGATGACCATCTTGTTTCTGCTTTTAAACCTCTAGAGAAGGAGAATCTGCCAGACTCAAAGGCAGCATTTTCCATTATCAAACAGCTCCTATTGTTAAGAAATTCTTCCTAATGTTGAGATGGAATATCTTTTCCTGTAGTCTGAATCATTGCCCCATCTTTGTCTCCAGAGCAAAGAAAACCAAGCTTGCCCCCTCTTTAAGGTGACATCCTTTCAAATATTTAAAAATAATAATAACAACAACAATAATAATGCTTTATTTGTATTCCACCTTGTCTCCCAGAGGGGGCTGTCATGTCCCCTCTCAGCCTTTTATAACATTATATGACTTGAGTCAATAACAGAAGCTGGCATAAAATGTATTATTCTAAAGATATTTTCTAATTTTTCACTTTCAGAATTTTTCTTCTTCAAATGTTACTTAAAAGTTTAAATTAAATTATTTTATTTGGCTCATTCTTTATGTGTCTGCTAAACCCATTACTGAAAATTCAACAAAAGTTAGAAAGGGCAGTTGAATAGAAAAAAAGAGGAAAAGATTGTAAGCTCAGGACTCATAATGAAAATCCTGCTTAAACATGTACTGCATTCTAGATATGTAGAGAACATCCTACTGTATTCTAGATATGTAGAAAGACTGGGGGATGTGTAAATGATTTTTTTAAAAAAAAAACCTCTGACACTGTTTAGGATTACTCTCACATTTTAAACCCTCAGCAAAAAACTAAAATAAAAGAAGTGACACAATAGACAAAGAAGACTAGCCAGTTTCAGGCCTAATGAGAAACTATGGATTCCTGCTTGTGAAGGAGGTCGTTAAACTGCTGCCACCAATTGTGAAGAAGACCGTATTAATCCCACCGAATGCCACCAATTGTGAAGGTGCGCGTGGTAAAGCACCCACTGCCACCTAATCTATGAGGGAAGCCGGGCAACGATCAATATCAACCTAGGAGCTATTTTATAAAGGGACTGTTAATTACAGAAGGCTTTATTCACTTGATAGCGTAGCGTTTAATTTCTTGGCTTGACTTTATTATTGTAGGCTGTTCAACTTAGGAGCAACTGTATCAGGCAAGGCTTGAGGAAAACAGTAACAAGTTTATTTTAACAGGAGTATAACAATGTATAACTGTTCTTCAAAAGAGGCACAAATCTTGATGGATACATTGGAAAGGTTTCATGAGTAAACTCAGGCAAAAACTTCATAAGGTTTCACAGCTGGCACAACAGGCTTAAACCCAGCCAAACCTTGATTCTTAATTCAGAATCTAACAACCCCCTGTACCGGGTCCTTCTCTGCAACCACTTGGTCACCAATTGATTCCCTGAATCTCCACCAAGAGATTCAGTCTTTCCCTATAGCACACTGGCTATAGACACATTCCCTGAATCTCCACCAAAAGATTCAGTTCACTCAGTAGCTCGCTGGCGTACTGACTAATTCCCTGTTTCTCCCACTAGAGAAATCAGTCCCTTCCTGTAGCTCACCGGTCACAGACTGCCACTTTCAAAAAGCTGCGCCGTGAAGTGATAGTTGGCTCCGCCCCCGTTGCTATGGCAACTCAGCTCAAGTCACTAGCCACCATCTCTAACAAAATATAATCTCCCATACTTACCATCCATAAACCACTGTCCAAACTACACATAACCAAAGAATAAAACTTACACATCGTCACACTGCTACATGTTAATTTTATTCAGGTCCCCTGCCCAACATACACCCCCAATCTTGCATATGAAGAAATTAGATATAGGAAGCTTCTCTTTTGATTTGTACTTGTTTGTTGAATGTATGATTTATTAGAAGAAGTCACATTCAAACCTAACATAACTATTTATATAATCCAGTTTCCTGAATTTAGACATCACAGGAAATTGTGGTTGACTTAACAATGAATTAAAACCTTACAGCAATCCAAGATGAAGAGAAAGGGAAGTTGGTCCATTGCCTATATCAGGATGTGTGAGACTTGAAAACAAATTTGTGAAGACGTCTTTGGGAAAGAAAAATGAATGGGAAAGAAGTTCATCATAATGTCGGAAGCACTTTTCTTACATGAATAGAAATGGTTTATCCTTAAAGGTTCTGTGCTGTGGGCGGGGGAAGTTCAACCCCATTTTTGCAGTTGTTGACAGCACCTGGACGGGGACTGGCAAGTATTATCAGATGATGCTCAGTAGGCCCTGCCCATATTCCTCCACAACAAAGAGGAAAGTTATGTTTTTTTTGGGGGGGGGTAGCTCCAATGGAGCTACCTACACTTTCCTCCCCTTTTCTCCATATGATGGGGGAAAGGGTGACAGGGCAATGCATGTTGCCATCCTTTTTCCCATCTGATGGAACAGGGACAGCGCCTTGTCCCACCCCCACCATATGATGGTGGAAGGAGTGAGGATGTGTGGGGTGCCACGAGGCACCCCATGTGCCTTTCCTTTTACCAGAGACTGCTGGGCAAAATGGCACAGCCTCAGGAGCCATGTGAAAAGGTCCTTTGTCTGAACTAGTCATTTGTTGCTGTGTCTCAATGTTCCTCTGTTGTAAAATGAAGATGTTGTCTTCTGAACGGTATAAATGCAATATAGTACATATGTTTGTGTTACCTTTATTTAATCTGCTGTGTGGTGTCTGCTTTTATCCCCAGTTTGACAAATCTTTTAATACTTTGACTTTTTGAGTCTGAATTATGTTGACATCATCATTGTTCATTAAACCGTACTACTTGACTGTATGCATATCCTCATCCACACAGTTACAGAAGTGTGTTTGTTTTCAGCCTGAAATGATAACTGACATGTAGAAGGAGAAGATTTGGCAAATATTCAGATGCAGCTTCCCTTATTACATCATAATATTTGTAGGAAGCTGTACGTTGCTACTCCTATTTTAAAACTGGAGTATAAATCAAATGTGAAGTGGTAACATCCTTTTCAGATTTTACTGGGGAAACATAGAGCCTTGCACACTGAGTATGATAACAGCCTTTGAATCATACCTTGAAATATATTCATAGACAATCAGAAATAACCCCTTTCCAGGATTTTTTCAATCCCATCTGTGCTCACCTTCTCCAGTTGCTCAGGAACTCATGGCCTCAGATGTTGCTCACACTGTGTTTGCTTCCATATTTGCCCACCCCTTCAAAAAACGTGTACTCTTCACGTGTACTTTTGTGAATCTTACAGTTAACCCTGACACATTGCTCCCTGTCCCATGGGTTCAGATGGTGTTGCTTTAGCTATAAGCATCAATATTCATCAATATTCATGTTCCAAATATGGCTAATAGAGAAAACAATTGATATATCAACCCTCCCAATTCAGAGACAATGTGTGATGTAGAGGAAGTTTGTTTAGAGCAATATTTCCCAAACTCTGATCTTCCAGGTGTTTTGGACTTCAGGTCCCAGAATCCTTGATCATTGGCCAAGACAGCTGAGGTTTCTAGGAGTTCAAGTCCAAAATCCCCAGAGGAGTAGAGTTTAGAAATCACTTGTCTAGAGCATCAGAGGAAGAGGGTATTGCTTTCGTGGTGCTCTTATAGGCTTTCTAAAGACATTTTGTTGACCACTGTGAGAAAGAAAAATGGATTGATCTTTTAATGAGACCCATCAAGATTTTTGATGTCTGCAAGACTATAATTCTCAGCATAATGTGATCTTTTTTTGCTTCTAGTTTAGGAGAATTAAATTGCCCCTATTGCCATTTACAGCATACTGCTAGAGCAGTGGTTCTCAACCTGTGGGTCCCCAGGTGTTTTGGACTACAATTCCCAGAAATCCCAGCCAATTTATCAGCTGTTAGGATTTCTGAGAGTTGAAGGCCAAAACATCTGGGGACCCACAGGTTGAGAACCACTGTGCTAGAGTGATTTCACCTTTAAAAAAATATAAGCATTGCATATGACAAGTATCTGAGCAAGAAACTGTCCATTTACTATTTTTATATATTTACATTGATGTCTCATTCTTATTTCAGGAAACCTTACCACCCTTTTTTCCAGAATGTTATAATACGTAATATCATATAATGTTAATATTTAAAACATGTCAAATATATTGCACATTTAAACTTAAATTCAACTTCAAAGCTATTTAGTTAGCAAACAGTGTGTGCTAAGGGCCAATCCCTGATTTACTCAATGCATCACTATCACATTTTGAGGGTTTCCCCTTAGTATTCCATCCTTTCCTTCCTGCCCTCGTCACAGTTTTATGAGTAGGAACAGTATTAACCTAAGGATTTAAGAATACAAGCCACCAAATCATAACTTCTTATAGTCACAGTACAGTGGTAAGGAAATACTCATGTTCTCTGAAACCATGAAAATGTGAACTGGTCTTGTTACTCTCCGAGCTTCAGACACTTAGCAAAAGGTTTCTTGTACGAGGGAGTGTATTACATATCATGGGATTTAATAAGTATCAAGTTTGTGTGGCTTGGTAAGAAAATCTAAAATTTCCCAAACTCTTAAAATGTTGTTTGGGGCTCTATGGGG